TCTGAGCACTTTTTATTAATCAGAATCAATATTAACTGACTTTTCCTTCATTTCCTCTTTCAGGTCTTTTACTACTCCACAGGCATCTTTAGTAACGCTGGTGTATCTGAGCCCATCTACGCCACCATCGGCGCTGGAGTCGTCAACACAGTGTTTACTGTTGTCTCTGTAAGTGTCTGAGTGCGCAGGTGGTTTCGTTAATTTAGTACAGGTTAAATATTACGTTGAATGTCAGTTGATAATTGTGTTTCTTTGAACTCCAGCTCTTCCTGGTTGAACGGGCGGGACGCAGGACGTTACACCTGATTGGACTGGCTGGAATGGCCATCTGCGCCCTGATCATGACCATCTCCCTGTCCTTAGCGGTGAGTTCGTCATTGTAAAATGAAAATGAGAAGCCAGCCTATTGCTGCTGCATTACATCTTTTCCTCATGCTCTCTGTTTCTTTCTCTGAGCAGAAGACCACCCCATCTCTAAGTTATCTGGCAATTGTGGCTGTGTTTGGCTTTGTTGCCAGTTTTGAGATGGGTCCAGGTCCCATCCCCTGGTTCATCGTGGCTGAGCTCTTCTCCCAGGGGCCCCGACCTGCAGCCATGGCCGTCTCTGGTTTCTCAAACTGGACTGCCAACTTCCTGGTGGGGCTGGGTTTCCCTAGACTGGAGGTATTTTTCACATTTATCATCCCTGCAGAAAATGTTCACATTCACACACATGTACAAATAATAGTCGTCTTCCAGTTTGTCTCATAACAAACATCCCTCTGATTTTCCCAGGAAATTTGTGGCCCTTACGTCTTCATCATCTTCATGGTCCTCCTCATCCTGTTCTTCATCTTCACCTACCTACGAGTCCCTGAGACAAAAGGGAGGACCTTTGACGACATTGCACAGGGATTCGCCGCCAGGGTGGAAAAACCCTCCCCTTCCCCGGTGCCTGAGGCAGTTGTGGTTGAAAACAAAGAGCCTGCACCGATGTCCCCCACAGAAAAAGTTCCCATGGTGAATCTTCCTTCAGAAGCAAAATGAAAAACTGTAGAAGATACGAAGGAAGATTTGGTGCAAAACAAAGCAGACAAACATGGGCCTTGCACATAGCTAGTGTAAAAGTTCTATTATTATATATACTATTTTATATTTATATATTACGTTATATTGCATAAGTCAGAAATAATGAAAGGTGTGTGTTTGGAAGAAGCCATTTCAGTGTACTAATGCAAAAAAAAAAAGTTTTAGTATTTTATATGTGTGCTTTTAAAGTGCCTTTTTTTAAAAATGAAAGAGTGTTTTTAAAGATCCCTCCCAGCTAGAAATGCTTCATTAATGGACTGAATTCCTCTTTAATCCTGCTTTAAACACGGTCTACACTTAAATGAATTACCAGTATTTAAGGTTTGTTGACATTTCCGGTGCCAGCTCCCATCCTTTTTTACCTTATAAGAGGATCAGCATATGTTCTGTGTGAGGTCTTCAGCTACCAACAGTGTTAAAAGGTTGCAGGATTTGGGGGTTTATGTATTGAGGTCAAGCTTGAAAAGACGGATTTGGAGTTCGGTTGTTTGACCCCCCAAAAAGAAAAGATTGACTTGCTGTCCTCTCTGAAATGCCTTGTTGCCTGCCTTGAGGCAGAAAAAAAGCACTGAGGGGGGTTTAGCAGCAGTTCCTCTCCACTTCAGGTCCATATAGATTTTGAATAAATATATTTATGTATGTAGAAAACAAAGACTTCCTCTCATCCAGCAGTAGCACCACATACCCTGACAGCAGAGGATGTCTCTGCTTGTCCGCTGTTTGGATGCGACAGCTTTTGTGCCGAGAAAGAAACAAAACAAGGCGAGTTCTGTAAGCCGGAGCCGTCTGCATCAAATGTAATATTTGTATGAGACGTAGTCCAGCACCGCCAAGCCTGAACAAAGCCTCTTTAAGGCTTCTCAAAAAAACAAAAGCTTACCTCTTTAGTTTGCAGATTTCACTGCAGGGTACAAAGTAGAACGAGAAAAAAAAAATGCTGGCGTTTACAGCTCAGATTGGATTTTAGAAACTCAGGTGGCCAACTGTGTATGTTTATAGCTCCCAACTGTTACAGCACAGAAAGGATATTTATCCACCACTGCACTTGAAACTCTTTCCACATCTGTAGAGCATTTGAGAGAAGCAGCTATTGCAAAGTAGGTCGTAAAATAAAATACAGTTTTAAAGCAGTGTTTTAAAGTATTTGCTAGTGTGAAACTGTTACCTCATTTGAGGGATGTGTAGAAGCACATTGTGGTCTACTGATAACTAAACACACATCTCAGTCAAAACAGGTCATTACACACGCTTGACGATGTTGAATTAAAAAAAAAAAACACTACGTGAATTGTATTTATTTTAGAACCGAAGAGTCGTTGTTTGCATTTGTTTCTAACTGTTTGAAATGATGTGAATATATTGTAAAGGCTCCAGTTACTGCACACTGATCAGCTGCTGCAGCACATGATGTGTCGGTGTTTGCAGAGCAGCATCTTCTTCTGGGTGTGCACAAACTGATGAGCTTAACAGGGTTATGTTAGCACTTTGGCAGTCAGACTACTGAATAATGATTGCGCATACTGTTTGCGCCCGTTACATGTAAATGTGTCGCACGTGCTCGAGAGGTGTGCGGTTTTCACTTGTCCTGTGAAACCTGTTACTTCCACCTTGATTTTTCTTGCACTCTGCACTCCTAGTGTCACTGTATCAGATGCCGTTGTGTTGCTTTGCAGTTTTCACATTTTTAATATGTATATTTTGCTCTTTTGTTATCTCTTTTTTTGTTTGTGTAAATAAACAGAAGCACTTAGCCAAGTTGAGCGTGTGTCAGAGTTAGAGATGACCTTTGCTGCTCTGCATTTCGTGCGAGACACTTGGCTTAGAGAAACCAAGAAGAAGAAGTTTTACATGTTTCAAGGGAAAAGCGCCGCCTGACTAATGAGCGTGAACATCATAAGTTTTGTGAGTTTGTAAGGCCACAAGTCAAAGCCAGTTAGTTATCATGAATGTTTAATGTTAACTGTCGCTCCGTGGTAATCCATCGGGCAACCACTTCTCCACTGCAGCGTTTCCTTCTCGTTTCGCTGTGGAAAAACCTCAGTGAGCTGTGAGGCGCGGTATTACAACACAAGCCACGAGCGCCGCTGTTGATGAATCGGGTTTAAATAATACATTTGGGTGTTGTGTTGACATTTTTGTTACGAGCTCAAAAATCAAATCAGAAGACGCAGAGGGAACTTCCTGTGATCTGTTTTTAAATCACTGATCTCGTGTTTGTGAGGTCACATCCAAAGGGACTCGCTTTTCAGAATAGCAAAAAGACACTGATTACGATGCTTCATTTAGAATTTGCTCGCAGACAAAACTGAGGCGAAAGTTGATATTAAAGGTTTTCGTCATTAGTCTTGTAATACATTATCCGTCTTCAGTTTAAGCTGCGATCATGGCTCAAATTTCCATAATGCTTTGACAGATGAAGAATCTGCTGAGTACCTGTGGGCTACAGATATTTTACATCCCACTATTTGTTTACGTGCCTGCATCACACTGAATTCATTAAAAGCTGTTAGCGACTCCAGTTTTCCATGATTTCTAAGCAGATTAATCATTTATTCACAATGATCGGAGTCACACTGAATCGGGTCTGTGTGGCAGACTAAACCCCATACCTGTGCTCCAAAAGGGTGATCTCATTTCTAAGCACCTATATGTGGACAACCAGACTGAGATTGAAATTTCTCCCCTAGTGGGGCACACAAGTCAATTGTAGATGTTTACATATTTGTCTGACAAGCACAAAGGTGCCCAGTTTGATTCCATGAGGACACACAAATCCCTTGGCTGTTGTGTCAGAGGGCCATCTGGCATAAAAATCTGCTAAATCCAAGATGTAAAGCTACCTGCTCTGAATGAAAGCTGAAATTACCCTTTTCCCTTTTTTGCTTATATCAAAAATTTTCTGACAATGGACAAGATAAGCTTCAGTCTGATTGGTCGCTTTAGCTATACAATATAATCTTCCATTTCCTGTTTGGCTTTACCTTGTGTACCTCAGCCCATCGAAGAAGCACACAGCCTTTGGTAAGGGGCCCCCCGGCTGGCTGGGAATGGTGCCATCTAACTGTGTCAAACCCACACAGCACATCTCCCTGCAAGAGTCCACAGCAGTTACTCACAGCAGTGAACTGGAGCATGAAAGCCCATCAACAAGCTGCAGTACTGCAGGCTGGCCAGCTAGTGGCGTGCACAGACCAGAAGGGCTGCTCAGATGTGTGTGTGTGTGCCTGAGTGTGAGTCTGCATACTGTCTGGATGAGCTGTCCTATGAGGCGAGGAGTGTGTCTGAGAGAGTAGGGTGGTGGAGGGGTGTTAGAGCATGAAGCCACATGAAGGATGGCGAGCGTCCCAAAAAACATGTCTAAATGATATTCATTTTCCATAAAGGCTGAGCTGAGTGAGATCAAGAAAAACAGCAAAAAAATAAAAAGTTGGTCACTCTCACATGCCACAGCTTGAAAAAATGCGGGTTAGCACAGTGTCCAGATATGAGAGGGATGCCACAGCCTGCCAGCCAGCGTTGCAATGGACGCCGTTAGTCGTGTCTAGACAGCTGTTTTAAAGACCAGAAAAACTTGTTTATTAATTCTCTCCCTTCGCTCTCTGTCACTCTCTTGTCGGCTCTCCTCTCTGTCTTTGTTTCTCCCATATAAGAAAATAAACCCTCTCTCCCACTTTCCTCCTCTCACTCGTTCTCTCCTCCTGTCTCTGTGACAACGGTGTTTTGTTTACTTCCTCACTTTGCAGCGTACTTATTGTATCTGCTGCTCTGTAAATATTTTTCTGCTTCCCTCATCCATTCATCCATCCACCCCCCATCCTCTCTCTCTCTTTTTCTTAGATAAAGGGAGCAAACAGACTCCACCCCCTCTCCACCCCCCCACCTCTTGCTCTGTCACACACACTCACTCTATCTCCCTCTTTCTCTTTCATACTCTCTCCCTCCCTCTCTCCCTGTCAGTGTCATTCTGTAGTGGAGATGTGGAGTGTCTTTCTGTCTCTCTGTCTGTTTTTCCAGCCTAACTCAGCTGAGGAAGGTAAGAACCAAACTTTTGATTGCATTTATTCACGTCAAACCTGTGACTGCACGCGCGTGTATGTGTGTATGTGTGTGTGTGTGTGTGTGGTCATAAAGCTTGATGGCGTGTTTGTACAGCGCTCTCATCACGTTCCTGAAACAAGTCCACAAGTGAAGGATGGGCACTTAGTATGCAACTGTTATAGCTCTCTAAGAACAAGCTTCTGTGGGAATTAATGGGACTTTGACAATGTGTGAAACTGTGGCACATTAGTCTGCCACGCTACGAGTCAAGCCACCCTGGATTATGAGTCCTCCACCTGCACCTTGGGACCCCCGGAATAATTACCAGCTTTACCCCTGCTTAGACAGCCCTTAGTTTTCTGGGCTCTGTATTGTGTCTCAAAGCAACATTGCATGTGAATATGCATGCAGATGCTTGTGTGCACCACTGTAGAAGCACATCAGATAGTAGTTTGTTGGCACGGAAGGGCCAGGTGCGTGCCAGGACCTATCAAGATCCGGCAACAAAAGGATATGGAAATAAGGCAGAAGACAAATGAATATTAAGCCGCAAAACCCCTTCTCTTTGCTATGCACTCGGTGACCTACCACCCCTCTCCCGTGTCACACATGATCTCATGGATGTGACAGCCGTAGGCCCCCTCTTCTTCTTATCATTGCCCCCCCCCCTTTTTTTTTTTTTAATTTCTTCTGCACTGGTGTCCTTAAAGCGTGTCTCCTGTTTCTCCTGTTTCTCCTGTTTCTCCAGTTCTCTCCTGGTAACTTTTAATGCTTTGCTTACATAAATGGAAAGAATGTATGCCTTAAAAAGTGCAAGACTGAGTGACTGTTTGTGTGTGTGAGAGAGAGAGAAAGAGAAAGAGAGCGAGTGACAGACAGTCTAAAAAGATGGATAATTAAGTGAGACTCCATCTATGAAGTGTTCTGTCAGATCAGAGTGGGCTGACTTGAGAAACCTGCAAAAACATGATGACTCAAACTGGCTTTGTGTGTGTATGTATATATATATATATATATA